ATAAAGGCAAAAGGAACAGATAGATATACAAAGACCTACTTGTTTGCACACTCAGGAATCCAATGAAAACACTAAACTGAAATCCATAATTTACAAACCAAGGCTGGGTCCTGTAGATTAAAAAGAAAGAAATGAAATAGAGATACTAAATATATGAGATATATTTTATTATACATATGTATTATATATATCATATATAATAAAATGTATTATATTAATATATTAGTATATCACAAAATGTAAGAAAATTAAAAAATATCATGTATCCCATTCTCAGTACTAAAACTTTCATTTGGTGACAAGAGATGTCCAGATAGAGCCCAATATGTCTCCTTACTATTTGGCAATTTCAATTAGACTGTCTTTATATATGTATACACTTTACAAATCTTTTACTGTATTATTTTCATACTATAACCCAAATGTCCCCAAATTTTAGCTTTCCTTTCATGGAATTCCCTCCTTTTCCTCTTTCTCACTCCTCCTAATTGGCCTTCACATTCTACTCCCCAATCCATAAATATCTCCACATGTATTCATAAACATCCATTTCCCTTTCTAAACAAGCTCTATCTCTATACCTAGCCTATGCAGTTTTACAGATTCTAGGTTTTTTATTATTGACCTTACAGTTAATGCTCACATATAAGCAAAATATATTTTATTTCTGGGTCATCATTATCTCACTCAAAATTGATTTTCTCTAGTTTCATCCATTTTTCTGTGAATTTCATGATTTCATTTTTTAGTAGTAATGATCCAGTGTATAAATGTATAACATTTTCTTTATTTATTAATTAGTTGAGGGACATCCAGGTTGTTTCTAATTTCTATTATAAATTCAGTGGCAATGAACATAGTAGAGCAATTATCTCTGTGGTAGGATGGAGCACTTTTGGGTTTTTGCCCAAGTGGTATAGCTGGATCTTGAAATAAATCGATTCACATCTTACTGAGAAACAGCCACACTGATATCCACAGAGTGATTTCAATTGTAGCAATGTTTTCTTGTTTTGGCTGTTTTGTGTGTTTGTTTGTTTTTATGATCTTGGGCCCCCTTGTCTTCTTGGTTGAATTTTACTTTGATGAATGTACACTGTATTTCCCTCTTTGGATTAACTTTGGTTTCAAGTCTATTTTGACTATTGAATGGCTACATAGCTTGCTTCTTATGTCTATTGGCTTGGAATATCATTTTTCATCCTTCTACTCAGAAGTGATGTCTGTCCTTGAGGTGTGTTTCTTGGATGTAGCAGAGGTATGTATTCTGTTTTCATATCCAGTCTGTTAGTCTGTGTCCTTTCATTGGGAACTGAAGCCATTGTTGTTGACAGATATCAACGAGTACTGTTTGTTGATTTTTGTTACTTTTATTGTTGCTGTGTGTGTGTGTGTGTGTGTGTGTGTGTGTGTGTGTGTGTCTGTGTAAGTGTGTGATTTTCCAGTCTGGGATTATTTAATCCTTATGATCTCTTGGATGTCATTAACCCCTTTAGTTTGGAGTTTTCCTTCAATTACAGTCTGTAAGATGTATTTGTAGATTAGATACTGCTTATATTTGAGTTTATCATGGAATGTCTAATTTTTTTCCCATTCATATTTGAAACTGTTGCATGGTATAGTTGTCTGGGCATTTGTGTTTACTCGGAACATCTGTCCAGTTGCTTCTAAATTTTAGATTCTCTATTGAGAATCAGGCATTATTATAGTAAGTTTGCACTTAAGATATGCTTCTTGATCTTTTACCCTTTTAGATTTATATATTTCTCCTTTGTTCTGAAAATTTAGTGTTTTTGGATTGTTACATGGTGAGTAGACTTTCTTTTCTGGTTCAGTTTATTAGGTGCTCTGTATGACCTCTTTAAGTTAGGGACATTTTCTTCTATGATTTTGTTGAAAATATTTTCTGTACCTTTCACCTGTGTTTCTTCTCTTTCCATCTCTATTATTCTTCGATTTTTATCTAAGAAAGTGTCCTAGATTTCCTGGATGTTTTGTGCCAGGAATTTTGTCCTAGAACTAGCTCTGTAGATCAGGCTGACCTTGAACTCACAGAGATCTGCCTGTGAGTGCTGGAATTAAAGGTGTGTGCCACCACTGCCTGGCTCATATCTGTTTCATCTATCATGACTCTAATGCCTGCGATCCTTTCTTCTGTCTCTTGTATTCTGTGAAAGTTTCCTGTTTGTTTCCTATTCCATTTCCTAATTTTTTTGATCCATTTTCCAATATTTTGAATTGTCTGTATTGATTCAGTTTTCACTATCGGATCTTGATCTGTTTAATGCATTTCTGTACCCTGGTTGTTTGTATTTTCATACATTCTGTTAAGCAATTTTTTTCTTTTCCCCATTAAAGACCTCTACCATATTCATAAGGCTGGTTTAAGGTCTTAGTCTTCTGTTTATGTTATATTACAGTCAGGGTCTGCCTTGGTAGGGTGGCTGGCTCTAATATAAACATATTGTTTTGGCTATTATTATTGTGTTTTTAAGCATGTGTCTCATCATCTGGCTTTAAAAGATTGTAATTCTAGGTGATGATATCTGCTCTTGTCTTTGTTGGAAGATAGTGCGTCCCTTGGTTTCTGTTTCCTTCTCTATTTCATAGGAGATTGTGCATTTCCTGGTAAGGTATTCTTAGGTGACACTGCTAAGTGTGGCCACCAGGGTTTCTAGGTAAAATGTGTTTCTAGTTATAGACTTTGTGGAGGGGGATGATGGCTGAGAGGCCACAGGTCAGATGAAAACAGGGATCCAGGAATTCTATGAAAATCATCTTACTTGAGAATGGACATGCTGAGTGAAGAAAGTCCACATGAGTTGTTCTGCTACAGTTGGTGCTGGAGATTAGATATGGAGGAGAGGAGGGACACTGAAGATTGTTGGGAAACTTGACTCCCTGTGTTGCTGCCCTATTTTCTTCTTTGGCAGGAGGACCCCCAGGGAATGCCTGCCAGCCTTTGGAATTGGAATAACAATGTTTGGGGAGGAAGATTGTAGGAGAATATCTGTTTGCTCTACTGGATATGAAGGCTGAGAGCAAAAGGAGGCTACAGCAGGTAGTTACCTACAGAGTTGGGGGGCTGATGATTGGGAGTTTGAATTAGAGGAAAGGAGGAAATTAAGCTAACTGCTTCCCTAGCTGGAGTGGCTTGCAGGTTCTTAGGGAATGCCTGTGTGAGTTAGAGGCTGTGATAACTCCATCAGTAGGGAAAGGGTGTGGGGTTAGGGGAAGATCTCAGTTTGCAGCTAGAGGTGGGAACAGGGATGGCATCACAGTAGATGATCTGCTCTAGAATTGGAGATGAGACTATGGGATTTAATTTGGAGTAGAGAAGGGAGAAGTGAAGATCTGCTCTTGGCCTAGCTGTTTTGCTGGCCGGAAATGTTTGTCTTTCTTTTGGTTAATTACGCTATGTATCTGCCATATAAATGTTCTTTTCAAAGAGCATTTATTTTGGGTGTTTCTTTTAATTGTACTTTTATTAGTACTAAATTTTACTTCCAATTCTTCTGTGCTGTCTTTACTTTTAATTTGCATTTCTTTTATTTATTTTGTTTCTCTAAGAAGTTGAGCTACGCAGTTGGCTTTTTAAAATAGGTGTTCATTGATAAAAATTCTCCGTTTTGATCTGCCTTTGCTTACACCACATGCTCTCATAAATTGTGTTACTCTTTTTAATTCTGTGACTCAAGTGTTAGAAAACCTCCTGGTCATGATGCTGTGTGACTGATAGGCTATATAAAATAAAAGGAACATATTTTCCACCTGAAGACACTTCAGGTACTGAATATTTCTTGTGCATTGTTTATATAATTGAGACCCCCACCAGAACGAATACATTGTAAACAGACAAACTGTGTGGCCCTGAACCATACCCATTGCACTGAATTAGTTAATTCCATATGAAAAGTCAGAAGAGTCAAAACAGCAGAAGTCATTCTCTTATATAGGAAGCAAAATGGCTTTGTCAGTTGTGGAAATATATTGATTATGATTGATTAAGCTTGCCTGAATATCAGAATGCAAAGCCAGCCACATTAGTTAGACATAGAAGTTGGGCAGTGGTGGCACACACCTTTAATCCAGGGCTCAGGAGACAGAGGCAAATGGATGTCTGAGAGTTCAAGACCACCCAGGGTTACATGAGAGTCAATCAGTTTAAAAGAGAAACAGAGCTCACTTATTTAATCCCAGCTTTAAAGATTGTGGCCCAGTGTCTCATACTGTATTCTGTCACAACGAAGACAGGATCTCCGATTCAGCCCTTGGTAGAGGTAAGAGCTACTGGCTTGGCTGCTTTGCATCTCTCGTCTTTGGCTTGAGCCATCTGTCTCTGGGTTTGAATTATTCATGTTACAGTCAGTTATAATAAGGATGCTTTTTTTGTGGGTGGAGAAAATGCCAACAATTCATCAGAATATTTTCTCAGTCTTATTCTGTGAACTACTTCTCTGATTTTTGGTACTCTTCTCCATATCCATTGTTACATGGAAATACTGTGAGAAGGGGTTACAAAGTAAAGATGCTTATGTTAGGCATCGATGATTTTTCTCATGCTTTGCAGACCACTAAAACTGTATTTCATTATTAAAGTATGTTCAGATGTACTACATTTTTCTCTCCCTCTATCTTTATAAAACCTAATACTGTAGAAATTGATTAAGATATATACACATATGACAATATGTACAAACTAAAGGAAATTGACAAATAGCAGGAGAGACAGACACCCAACTCAAAATCTCTTGTCACCAAACGGAGCTTCCAAGAATGGGTTGTATCTAATGGAGTTGTTGACCAAAGGGGTCCTATGGGAACCGCCAAACAGCCAAGACCACTGGCAAGGCTGTGATTACGCTCTCCAAATGTATACCAATACCCAATTGTTTATGACAACACATACAGAACTCATGGAACAAAGAGGATGGGGGCTGATGCCCACATAGAACCTTCACTCCTATGAGCTAGCATTCTTGGTACTGGAAGGAATTCTGCATACTACTCAAAAGACATGCCAACACCGACCCAGCCACAAACCCTTCTATCTGTAATGGTGTCCTGCTTGTAGGATATGCTAGTGGAATTGTGGCATGCGACTTATGGGAGAAACATTTATCTCTTTTTAAGATTCCCAAACCATCCTCTTTGAAAGTAACTGCTGACAACATGACCATATCTGATGAAAGCAAAAAGAAGGCTGTTTTATTTTTTTATGGTCTGTTTATCCTATTGGATCCTTTAGAAATGTAAGTTGTTACGATTCTGCTTATACTAGCACATTTATATAATTATTTCACACATGTATCATTTATACAATAATGTAATGTAATTTGCTATGTGCTGGGAAATTTCCATAGGGTAATAAATCCTGTGATCCTGTATGCTGTCTTTACAGTGAAATATCATTAAGCAGCTTGAGAGAAGATTCTTAATGTCTTCTGTCCCACAAAAACATTTTTGATATCCTCTGTTACTCATTACTGATTTGAACAATGCAAAAAAAATAGGTTCTCTATTATTATTTCCTCACTGATTCCTTCTTTCTAATTATACACTCTCTCACAGTATTATTCATGACATTCTATTGAAGATCTTATAAAACTTTTTCTTAGTAATTGATCTTGTCTGTGATATAAAACTCTTCTCTAATGTACTGTGAAACAACTGGAAGCCTTGAGAGATTTTCTGAAAAATCACATAAAAGTTCTAATTATCGCTTAGTGGTGACTCATGATAATAAGGTAGAAATTATTTACCTCTACTTTCAAGTATGGGAATATTATTATCATGAAATTTTTATGGAAGATTCTGATTTTCTAATTTATTTTAGCACAAATCTTGAAAAAAGGTATTAACTAAGAAAAACAGACTTTGAAAGTGCATGTCTGTGTGACATATAACGTAATGGTGGACCCTGAACACTTTACCAGTGGCAATGCTGTCAAGGTCTATACAGTGTTGAATGCAATCAGGGAGTTCATAATTCTTTTTTTTTTTTTTGGTTTTTACGAGACAGGGTTTCTCTGTATTGTTTTGGAGGCTGTCGGTCCAGCCCAGCCTCGAACTTACAGAGATCCTCCTGCCTCTGCCTCCCAAGTGCTGGGATTAAAGGCGTGCACCACCAATGCCCGGCCGGGAGTTCATAATTCTTGAAGGCTTACAATTGACTGAATGTTATGCACCCACAAATTTTTTATGCTAAAATCCTTCTCACTCAACAAAGCATATTAGGAGCCTTGGGGTTTTTGTGATGATTTCTCCATAAGAGTGTAAACCTTTGAAACTGTTTTGTTTGAGGAGAAGGAATCCTGCAAATAATGTCTCACTTTGGCATGTGAGGCTGTAGTGGAGGCCATATTGGCCTAGGACATACGTCTTTTCTCTCTCTCTCTCTCTCTCTCTCTCTCTCTCCATATATATATATATATATATATATATATATCATAGCCTAACTGTTAAGTAAAGTTTATTGATATTCCTTAGCACAAACACAGTAGCATGAAGAAGTTAACACAATGAGAGAGAGTGAAATTCCATTTGTCCATTTGGATATTGTCACAGGATTACATCACCGTGTCCCTTTCTTAGGCTAGGTTTTCTTCAGAAAGATTTTGGGGTGCAAGTGTTTCCAGCATCTCATCTCTCTCATGATCCTCTACTTAAGAGGCAGAGAATGTGTCTCTGTCTTTTAAGATGCTTTTCTTTTAGCCATTCTTTATACATGGCTGAATTTAAGGAAACATTTGCTGAAGCAGCAGTATTTGTCCTAAGGACCATCAGTATAAATTTTGCTGAGAATGTTGGGATACTCTAGTAACCCTGACAATTAAGATGCCATGATACTTGCAACTTTAGATATGGATACACCAGTAGGACCTGTCTAAAAATTTAAAAAAGATTTGAGAAAGGTAGATATTGAAAAATATATATAATGTATCCATGTTTGTATATGTGTACATACCCGATAGACCACATTATTTGTGTTACATGATATCTACTTTATTATATATGCTATGGCATTAGAATAGACCAAGGACTGAGTTATTTGTCCCATTCCATTACTTGGTCACGTCTCAGTTTGATTTCATAGCTATCCTTGTTTGAAATCTTGTCTCAAGACAGAAAATTTAGTCCTTCCTAGAGCAGGTGCAAGGCAAAAAAAAAAAAAAAACAAAAAAAACAAACTAAATGCTTCAATGAAAATAAGTAAAAAGAAAAGAACATATATTTAAGGAATCTGCATTATGTCAGACAGTTTTCATTTTTCATGAGAAGTTCCAGATTGCATAGCATATCCATTAATTTATTTTTTTGGTTATTATGAAACATAAAGGAAAATATAAAGAAAAACAAGTTATTTAACTGAGGCCAGCAATGACTCCTTATGAGTGAGATAAAATAATAACATTAATAATAACAATATTAATATATAAGATTTATAATTTCTTTGTTTCCAGATTCTGAATCAGTTTGAGCCATCACTTCAACTCCAATATGTTCTGGGGACCACAGAACATCACAAATGAAATTAAGTTTGCTATTTCTCATGACAGGTCCTTGGTTTAATAAATATTCAATGTGTTCTCATAGCTACAGATACTACCATTATTAACCTACTTATGAATGGTTGATCTTTAAATCACTTAATGCTAAGAAGGTTGGAATAGTAAGATTTGATTTCTGATCTATTTCCCATTTATAATTAAAAACCATAATCAGTTTCTTTAGAATTGCCAAAGAAATCCATGCAAAGTGTCAACAGGTAATGGTTAGCTTCTGTCTCTTCCTGTAAGAACATAAAACATTTTGGGAAAATCATAGGAAATGAGACGTCCCAGTATGTTGCTGGCCTATCCTGATAAGTTTATTCAGGCAATGTGATGGGAGTTAGGGTTCAGATACCAAAGTGTTAAGTCAACCTGCCTAAAACCAGAAAGAAAAGTCAGAATAATCTCTACAAAAGTCAACCACTTATTAGGATTTATTTAATGCATACTTCCATGGGTGAGATTAGGTGCCTTCATTGACATGATATAATTACCCAAATTTCACAAATTGCATGCCTTTTATTCTTATTAATATATATTATACATACAGTCCTGCAGTGGCATTTTTATCACTGAGTTATTACCAAGAATACTGTTCTAATGCTACACCTAGCCTTCTGCCTTCTCTCAAAAGCTGGGTATCGTAGATATTTTCTTGCTTTTCCATGGTTTTGCATTGTCAGCAAAACCATTCAGTGTGAATATATTTTTCAGATTTTTTTAACTTCATGGTTTATATTTAAAGTACTTCATCTTTTCATTGCTTGATGATACATTACTTTTAGCATGAAATAATACTGTATTCTCTGTATGTGCCAGTTTATTTTATGTATGAATCTTCTTAATGGTATCTTGCTGACATACACATTTAGTAAGTCTTCAGTGAACATCTGCATGCAGGTTTTTATGTACAAAAACATCTTCAACTAATTTGGGCAAGTAACGAAGTGTGATTCCTAGACTTGATTGTACATATCTGTTTAGTTTTGGTGGAAGCATTAAAACACATAATGTATAACTCTGCTATAAACAAATGAGCATCTCTTATGAATTTTCCTCTTTCACAAGGAGCTGGATTGGCAAGGGCTTCATTAAAAACACCTCTCTGGCATAGCATGGCATATTTACACCTGGCTACAAATTCTTCACTCTCTTAATTCCTCTCCTCTTTATTTTTATTTTAACTATATAAACTTGTGAAGGTTTTAATTCTGGTATATGGAGGACTATGGTGATTGATGACCAAGAAAATAAAGTATTGAATTATAAACTAAGAACTAAGAATGCAATACGTTAATCAGCTAGTAGAATCATTCCAGGATTAGTATTCTATACTGCTTGAGTAATTTTCTTGTGTGGTGGAAAAACTGGTAACTTGAATCTGTTCCATGAGACCCATATTCTCTATTAAACCAGCTTTTAACATGGACGGTTAGAATGGGAGAAATTCGGAGAGAAATGACTAATGAGTAAGATTTTTGAGTAGCCAATTTCTAGCTTTCTTTGTGATGTATTACATAGTCTGGACAGAGACAAATAGACTTCTCACAGTATTTTTCTTTAGAAAACCAGTTCCTCAAATCCAGGAAATCTGTAGTGGCGTTTAATAAAATGTAAAAAGAGATTGATTGAATAGCAGAAAGAGTTAAACTCTAACAATCAAGTGTATACAGGTCAAAAGCTCTGACAGACTATCAATTTGCCCAGTAAAAAGTTCTGGGATAAGAGCCAGGAGAGATCATACAAAGATGAAGAGCTGTAAATCTCAATCTCTCTCTCTCTCTCTCTCTCCCCTTTTCTCTCTCTTTTCTCTCTCTCTCCTTTTCTCTCTTCTTTTCTCTCTCTCTGTTCTCTCTCTGTTTTCTCTCTCTCTCCCTCGATCACCTTACTTATCTCACTCTATTTAAACTTAAGTAAATTTTCCTTAACATCTCAAAAACAGATGGAGCAGACTACAAGTGTGAAAATGACAAGCCCTACCCTCACCATTGCATTCATTAGAATCAGAAATATCTGCACAGATGTTAAACTGTATGTGTTATGGTTTATTAATTTTATGTAGGAAAAGTTATATTCTATGTAATTTGCAACACAGAAACATTCTACTCTATTTTTTTTGAGAGAATGAAATAACATGAAGATTGGGTTGCTATGTTAATGACTGAGAATTCTAAGACAGTTTATGTGGATGTTGCAAAAAATGGCAACCTTGAATAATCAGAGGGCAGAAAGTACAGATCTCTGCTAATTGGACACTCCTAATGATGCATCAGAGAGTCTAATCCTCAGCAAAATTTAAATCTTTGAGAAAGTAATATTGTAATATTGATTACAAGAGCTACTGATAAAAAATGAACAGTGGTACAAGTTTTGATGAAAACGAGAGACCTAAACTCGTATTTATTACTTGATACTCTGTAGATGACACTTGGAATCTATCTCTGGACATCATTCCCTAAAGAAAATTGTGTTATCTATGGATAGGGCACCTGATGTGATGTGTGTCTTGAAATAAACTCCTTCATTATGGTGTATCATATAGAAGTGCACATTAATTTTTAAAATTAAGTGAGGAGTCTTTTGTTGTTGTGTGTTTATTTCTTTCCTTTCATGGACATTATATGGAGTGAAGGAAGTAGAATTTGTAAGACGTGCAAAGTAGAAATGTCATTTAATCACAGCAAAGATCTAAGGCTAAT